GAGACGGTTCTCGTATGTAACGTATCCCAACATGTCACAATGCCAACTCGTATAATTACAGGACAAACGCCCCATATACTTGACCTTGTATTCTCCCTGGCACAATCAGATGTCACCGACCGAGCCGTTCTTCAGCCCATTGGTAAAGCCATCACTGTATGGTTTCATTCCTCTGGACTCGACGCCTTACTCTCCACAACCAAGGTCGCCTCCACAGAAATTTCTGGCTTGATGATCCCTAACGCCCACAAACGGTTGCCAATGCTGTTGACTGGAGTGTACCCGAATCCCTGGACCTGGACGATGAATGGAACCTCTTTTATTCCAAAATGATTTCGCTCTTTGAGCAGGTCGTTCCTGTCTACGAAAGTAGACCTTTTGCCAGAGGTCCTCCATGGATTGATCGAGTACTGAGGGGCCTACAGAACTGTGGGACCGATTCAGGCTCACGCACTCCGAGTCTGACTATTCGGACTATAAAGTGGCCAGCAATATCAATAACGAAAATAACGAGAGAAACGGCATAAGTACGAACTCGGTTTGGCTGTGCAATCCAAGACGGCTACCAAAACACTTTTCTTACCTGAAGAGAAGTACCAGAGCTGGCAGTGGTGTTCTTGCCCTGGATCCCTTGGTGCATGTCGGTTTACTTGACGATGACGCTGCGAAAGCCAGTCTTCTGACCGTGCAATATTCATCAGTTTACTCGATAAAGACGCCGTTACCCATTGACGCGGCGCCGATACACCCCTCTCCGTTGGAGCACCTAGAGATGAGCGCTGACGTCGTTGCCAAAGGCACTCGTGAAATAGATCCGAACTCCCCACCGGGTCCTGATGGGTTGCATCCGCTGTTCCTCCTGTTTGCCGAGTATTTCGTCATTCCCTTGAAGTTGGACGGCTCCGGATTGCTTGGAAAGTGGGATTGTTAAGCCCATACACAAAGCAGGGGATCGTCAAAATCTTGCCAATTATCGACCCATTTGCTTAACGTTAATATTGTGGAAGGTAATGTAGAATGTTCTCAAGCGGGCGCTTCATCTCCACCTCGAGAATCTGAACGTCATCTCTTGTGCGCTGCATGATTTTCGGCTAGCTCGCTCATGTTCTTCGAATCTGCTTGTTGCCCGGAAAAGATGGGCGATATCATTAGATGCTGGGAAACGTCTTGATGTTGTCTTCCGCGCTTCCTCTGATCGATTTTCATTTCGTGAAAAGCGTCGTTTAAACTACATATCGCAATTCACGACAAACCTTCGTCACGTTGATGCCACTAACACCACAGTTGCAGACACGATGTCTCGCATCGGTCTTCACTATCTCTCGCGTCAAGCTATTAACCTCGAAGATATTGCAGCCTATCAAGAAGACGATCCTGAGTTCGCGGATTTGAGATCATTGAAACTCTCGTAGCTGCCTATTGCTAATTTCGACTTTAAAGTCTATTATGATTTATCTACCGAAAAGCCAAGACCTTTTGCTCCACAACAGTACCGGAGAATTTTTTCTGATCACTTGAATGACCTTTCCCACCCTGGCATCCGAGCAACTATTAAATTAATCGCCGACCGCTACTCATGGCACAATATGCGTTCCGACATCGAAAAATGGGCAAAGCATTGTATTACTTGTCAAAACAGCAAGAGACATCGGCACACAAACACCGTACCTGACGCATTTGCGTTACCCGACGCTAGATTTAAACATATTCAACTTGACATCATTGGACCACTTTCCCCATCCAACGGTTTCCATTATTTGCTGATCTGTGTCGATCGTTTCACACGATGGCCTCATGCAGTACCTTTACGAGACGTTACCACCGAAACTGTTTCACGGACGTTCGTCGAAACCTGGATATCTGTGTTTGGCACGCCTTCGACGATCACAACAGCCAGAGGTCCTCAGTTCAATTCCGCCCTATTTTAAAACCTAAACCGTTTATTCGGTTATTCTCATCTGCGAACAACTGCCTACCATCCAGCCGTCAGCAGTATTGTTCATCCATTTCGTCGTCAACTGTTAGCTGCTATTATCGCATCGAAATCGAACACACCATGGTCCGAACGTCTATCAGATATCCTTCTCAACATTCACAACACGGTCAAGGAAGGCCTACGTTGTTACCTCGCTGAACTGATTTTCGGCACAGCTCTTAGGCTTACCGGTGAGATGGTGTTAAATTCCAGAGTCACTGGATTGCTAAAACCGACTTCCTATACGGTGCGATTGCGACAACATTTTGCTTCGGTCCGGCTAACACCACCCCGATTCAGCCCTCGAAATCAACAAGTCCATTCTGATTTGCATACTTGCTCTTTCGATTTTGTGCGCGTCTTTACGATGCGTAAACACTTGACACCGCCGTATGAAGGCCCTTTCAAATTTGTTGCTCGCAAAGAGAAGTATTTCGTATTGGATAGAAGCGGTTCCGAGAATTATGTGAGCCATATTCGCTTGAAACCAGCTTAAGTCAAAATGCAACCACCACAACAAGCCACTGAACAGATGTTCCCCAGTACCCTCCTACCCAGCCGATATGTGCACCTTATGTGGCTCCCTCTACATCCTCCACGAACCAGCGAGAGAATCATACAAACAAAGGCATATTAAAAGCTCGGGGCACGCTATTGTCTTGCCTTCCAGGCTTAAAACTGAAAACAACTGACACAAGTATCTAGCGTTCGTTCTCGCGACTCACTTTCTAAGGGGGAGTTCTGTAGTGTTTCTAGAGCTTCGAATCTTTCACTGTAACTTTCTCTTCCATTTTCCGTCATTTATTGTACGTTTGTTTTAACGCACGTATCCCAGCTAAACACTCCTCCGAATTTTTATTCGTCTTCTGGTTTCGCTTACGCTGTGCCGATTTCAATTGTTGTGCGTGTGCTTTGTAGCGGTTGTCATTAAACTATATGTTATCTTTATTTTTATCACTTCTGTTCCTGACTATTTTGTACCATATGTTTAAGTTAACGCATTTTGAACACAACCTCTTCAACGCGCTCGCGTCGTGATATGTTCCTTTGCTGTCGCCATCATCATCATCATACTCAATACACGTTAACCGAGGTTGAGAAACACCTCAGCTAATGTGCCCTGATACCAAATGATCAGAGAGCAAACACTTACACTACAGAAAAGCTTCCAATGAAGTTATATGATGTTAAATATTATATTATGCGTTTTTCATGAGATCGGGATTGGAGGGGAAATGTGCTGCCCCCACGTCTTTCTAGTAGTTGGATTTATATCTTTGAATCGCTGGTCAGCATCTAACAGACGGTAATTAAAAGAAGGATTATAACGCAGGTGTTCTTGGTCGTTACTCTACTGTGAGTTTATACCTTAGATAATCTTTTACCACAGAACTCGAACTTTTTATGTATGGGTTCTTTACTCCTTCTCATCGGTCGTCGGGTCTCCGTTTACGGACCAGCTTTCGATTTCACCGTCTGATGTATGCACATGAAATACCTGCTCCTCGATTTTTCCCAATTGCCTGACTGCACGTACTCTCACTTAGTTTCTATTCACCTAAACCTTCTGCGTTTTATACCTGAGTCAACTCTTCAGCCTCACGTGATCCGAGTGCGCCTCCAGCGCAGGTTACAGACTAGAGAACAACTGCTTCTTTGCTTCCTTTGAACCACTTCTTTTTTACTCGCCTTTTCCTGTACTTGGTGGGTATTGTAAAAGGGAATCATCTTACTGCATGGCAAATCTTCTGATGCGTGCTTCTTAACAAAACCAAATGGATACCGCCATGTATCACCTCATATTTGGTTGTTGTCAATATTCCGTTCTGTGTCCTTACCTAGTGTAACCCAAGCTTATCTATTCGGACTAACCTGCTTTCTGAAACTATACATCTGGTGCCTCATCGGAGTACACATCGAACTCAAACCGTCTTCACTGGCTCGGGCACATGCTCCGCATACCACTTCGGCTTGTGTGTTTGCCACCATTGCCATTAGATGACATGGCGAAGTGCCTGAATAGGCGCACCGGAAAGCCGTGCTCTTGTCGCCTTTCCGGATATTTTCCTCTGGAAGTGGACACATCGCGTATGGCGTGTCCTTGGAGTCAATGGTGCTCTTACATTCAGATCATTGACGATTCTACCCGACGACTTTGGTTCTTCTTCCTTCCCTCTGATTATTACCATCGTTTGTATTATCATTGTTTTTATATCGACAACGTTTGTCAAAGCAGATAAGTCTACTACACTATTGTGCACAGAACATGCTTGACAAATCGAATTGAACTCTAACACACGCTTCGAGATCGGCGTGTTATATACCTTAGGAATCTGGCACCTCAACTAACCTTTACGCTTAACGGTCAAGCGATATTTGACCGACTTGCGCCCAGTTAAGAGTACTTGTGCAGGCGCTGTTAGCCCGAATAGTCATGAACTATAAAGTTCATGATGCGCTTTCTTCTTTGCTTTCTGGGAACTTGGAACCATCATTTGTGATATTTGAGGATTTATGCAGGTATTTCAAAGGATGTGGTATTAAAAGTAGTTCAGCAAAACATTCTACTACCAATTGTTCATTTGTTCTCCGAGCTTGGCGGTTTTCTCGGAAACGTTTCACCACCATGCGAGGTGGCATCCTCAGTGCAGTGATATGTAGCGTGCAAGCTTACTAAATGAATCCTCCATCCATGATCGACCTGCAGGTGACTTTGAACGTGGCAGTATCGATGCTGATTTTATCGTTGTTGATCGTTTTCGTTATTTTCCCGTCGATTGTATCACTTTTTGTCTGCAGCGTTGTGCAACAGATTGGTTCCATGTTATTTTCAAGTCACCTTCCGCTTTTCTGTCGGTAGTTTGATTCTCTGTATTTAACCCGACTAGCATTTGCCTATCACACTCGTACACATTTAGACAATTGTTGAGGTTCGGTAGTTTATCGAACACATAACAGCCAATTTCGCCTTACTCGGGATTCTTTGCCCATAAAACACGTTCACCTGTTTTTACGCATTGTTTCAGCTAACACGACAACCTCCAAAAACTTGCGGAGCTTATAGTTGCTTCTGCAGCCTCCGAAATGGTTTGCGAGAAATGTAAGTTATCGGTTATTTAGCAGTATTTCCATTCCAGGTGAAAAGAAACTTGGCAAGGTAATCACTCCAGACCCGTGGAAAGCTGGTGCCCGAAATGTTATCGGCAGTGGTGGTCGAAGGCTGAACGAAAATAAGTTACTTACCGCCTCAAAAAATCGCTTCAGTCCATACTCCAAGGATTTTAAAAGATGTCGCGTTTGCGCACAGAATGTTCACCAACCTGGATCACATTATTGTCAGTCCTGTGCATTCAAAAAAGGCATCTGTGCTATGTGTGGTACTCGATTAGTTAACACGACCAGCTACAACCAGTCTTCAGCTTAAGGCGAAGCCAGAGTGTCGGGAACATAACGCATTTACTTGATCGCTGTGTGTTGATGGTTTACATGTTACCTTCGCTTCATTTTTATACTTTGTTTTTCAAAAATCAGTTAACCTTTATAAATACTTCCGAGAGTGCAAATGTGGCTTGGAATAATGTCTTGAACACATCTCTTAATTGGCAACGCCCAGCAGATAATCGGTAATCATTGCTGGTTTTCGTTACCCAATGTCAATTTCTAAGAACAGCTTGTTCCTGGATTTCTGTCACGATTAATGTTTTCTGAATAGTAACCTGGAACCTGCCGTCTACCCATTATGGTGGGACCTTCTGGTTCCTTCAACTTTTGCCATGCAGTTCAGTTCAGTTGAACGGTTATGATCCGTGCATCAAACTGCGGTGGATCCGGTCACTACGGTTCACATTGTCTGGATGACACCTAACAACCAAATGAGGTTGTGCGCATATAGAATACAATGAAAACGAAGTCAAGAAGTGCGTTAAACTAATCAGAATGGAATTGAAGTTGACAGCTAGATGCAAGAAGCCTAGTGCAGGGCTGCCACCGACCATGCCATGTCCCATAGTCTCCAACCGCTGGTGTGTTCCATCCTGGGCTCCCATCCACGAGGACGGCATACGCTAGCCTGATCAAGTCTCCCGGTTAGTTTCATGTCTTTCTACAACTTAAGCAACTGGCCACTTCACGGTTCTGCCTAACTTGGTACGGTGACGGCTTATAATGCCCATCGAGAAAGCCTATCAACCTAAGCGGTTGCGCTTTAACAGACACTCGTGTGCGACACCGGAATGCTTCTTGCTAAAATCCAACCGGCGGATCTTAGCATTGCTCACCGGGTGCTCACACCAGATGTGAGCAATGCTCCGCAAACATCGGTGATCAAAAATGGTCAACCGTCTAATGTCTTCAATACGCAACGACCAGTTACTTAATTACTACTGTAACACCGGCATTATTGCATCTTTGCATGCCCTTACTTTTATTGACATGCTGATACCCTGCCGGCTGCATAGATGGTTGAGCCTCTGAACTACCACGTGGGCCTCGCTGATACCCGAAGTAACGCCACCAGTGGCGTATCGTTCCATTCCTGTAACAATACTTTACACTTTAAAAGTGTAGAGCGCACATTCTCACGTGCAGTGCTGTGCGTTAGTCTATTGCTATTGCATCAAGCCCAATTGAAACTGTGCGGTCTGCATACTCAAGTTTTGTCCCTTGACCACTTGACATAATTTTTACTCCCCACTTGTTTTGGGGAGCTCGGGAGACAGCTTTCCGTAGATCTTTATCGGACCTCGGGATTCACCTCAAAGCGGATTCAGAATGGAAAGGTGTTTTCCAGCAATCTCGTCGCGACTAGCCATTGCTACAAATTGGCACGATCAATGCAGTCGGAGGCGGTTTTCAAGTCAAAAACCCACCATAGTCAGTCGTTTCTAGGTGTTTCAGTTATGTAAATATGTGGTCGATACAACCACGACCCCTCGCAGCGAGATAACCCTGACGTGGTGCGACGGTTTGCGTACCTCGACCCACTGAGCTGTATTGGGTGGGGCTGCAGTGGAAGGTTAACTAAAATGTTAGAGTCCAGACGCAAAGTATGCTATCAAACAAACACTCACAGTTGAAGAACCATCAGGCACAGTTGTGTTATAATCCTTCCCTCAGTTACTGTTAGTCCGATGTTGAATGGTGATTCGTAGATGTGTATTTGACTACTGGGAAAATGTGGCTACCGCACAAACACAGGCAGCGGCAAACAACACCTGCGCGACGCGAGCGCGTTAAAGATATGTATTCGAAGGTTCGTGGTTTAAAACAAATGGTACAAAAATCTCGATAACGGAAGCGATAAAAGGATTGACAAACTATTGTGTTCATAAAATATCCCCATTTGAGTCAGGAGTAAGCAAATGCGCAAAGAATATTCTTTTCGATGATTCTCATCGGGCGTATACAGTTATGAATCAAAATACTGGAGGAAATATAGCTCGCAGAAAGCAACCAACTCATTGACCAGGCGGTAAGAAAACTTAATCAATGGTTTGATCAATCAGACTGTCGCATTAGGAAGCCCATGATCAAGGCAGGTCCTATGTCAAGTTCAAGGCCAGGGAAATTTCAGAGCCTGTAGCAATGTGCACTGTTTACACAGCTCTGGTTTCAGAACATTGATTACAATGGTCAACTGATGTTTCTTAAGCTGTTTTTGGTAGCGTTTAAAGGTGTATAAACGACTGGTTCATCTGGACTTGATGTCCAGTGTCAACCAAGTGTTGTAACACGGAACTGTTGATGGATTTTACGGTACCTTTTCGTAGTGACACAGCACAATGGCCAGCGATTCTTTTGAACAAACACATGGTCGTATGTCCAAGATATCTAGCACCACAGGTGCAGGTTAACTGGTATAAGCCAAACGATTCGGACCGAACCGGGGAGTTTATCTTTTAACTGCTGAAGAATCAATGGTCTTGTTTCGGCAAGTAGTATTATATCGGCGGCTGGAAATGTCTTGGCCACTGCTGTCGCAATTAAACTATTCAACAGTTCGAACGCGACGTCACCTGTAAAGGGAACTGTACGGAATACATCCTTTTTGGCACCGTAGCGACACTTGGCAGCATCAAGCTGTTTGGAATGCTTTTTGATGAAAGGCACAGGGTACCCATTTTCTTGCAGCGTGTTAAAGATGAGCTTGGTTTCGCTTTCCAGTGTCTCTAGACTGCAGATTGCTCTGGCACGATGGTATAAGTAACGGACTAAATTCCTTTCGTATCTCAGCGGTACAAAGCTAAGAAAGTGTGTGCATTGACTTACCCACGTCCTTTTGATCGTCCCGTTTTCACTCCGATACGATAGAACGTTTAAGAACGCCAAGCAGCCATTTTGTTCAACCTCATTGGTGAATTTTAATGGTGGATGCACTTTGTTAAACTGATCTAATAGAGTTAGATAATCAGTAGAAAGGTCACAAACGATGGAAGTGTCGTCCATGTAACGATAGTATAAATCAAATGAAGGAATATGGTTGTTTAGGTCTCCACGTTCGAGCTTTGAAAGATGTCGGCCAAAAGGAGGCCTAGGGGAGAACCCATTACGACTCCATCTATCTGTCTATAATAGATTCCATTAAACAGAAACTGTACGTTGAAAGTGCAACGCAGAATCAATTCTTCTAATTTATTCATTGGAATTACAACACCAATGTTTTTCTCTGTGATGAGAGCGCAAATGAATGTCACAGTCTCTACCAGCCCGTTCGTGAAAAGTTATTCTACGTCAAACGAAAGCATTAATTTATCCTTCACGTTTAGGTTTCCTATTCGGTTGACAAAATCAAACGCGTGTTTGACCTTATGAATCGACAATTCTTTGCGAACCGGTTCCAGCAAATCAGTTATCCACTTTGCAACAGAGTGAAAAGCGGAAGTAGACATGTCCACTATTGGTCGCATGGGAACGTTTGTTTTATGCACTTTTGGCAAACCATAGTCGCTGAGGGTGTGAGCCGCATGGGGTCAGCTTTGAGAAGAATGCATCATCTATGTGCTTCGACGCTCTTAATTCTTTTAAAATGTTAATGATTTTTGCTTCCTCTTGCGAAATGGTCTCTTTATGGATTACCTCTCGTCGGAATTTGTTGGTATCGCTCAGAATTGTTGTCAGTTTAGAGACCTAATGAGACTTGTTCATCAGTACTCCAAATAGCTTGAGGCTGTCAAGTGTCGCTACGGTGCCAAAAAGGATGTATTCCGTACAGTTCCCTTTACAGGTGACGTCGCGTTCGAACTGTTGAATAGTTTAATTGCGACAGCAGTGGCCAAGACATTTCCAGCCGCCGATATAATACTACTTGCCGAAACAAGACCATTGATTCTTCAGCAGTTAAAAGATAAACTCCCCGGTTCGGTCCGAATCGTTTGTCTTATACCAGTTCACTTGCACCTGTGGTGCTAGGTATCTTGGACATACCACCATGTGTTTGTCCAAAAGAATCGCTGACCATTGTGCTGCGTCACTACGAAATGGCACCGTAAAATCCATCAACAGTTCCGTGTTACAACACTTGGTTGACACTGGACATCAAGTCCAGATAAACTAGTTATTTAAACCGTCCCTAGACACTACCCAAAACAGCTCAAGAAGCATCTGTTGACTATTTCGGAAGCCATTGCAATCAATGTTCTGAAACCAGAGCTGTGCAAACAGTGCACATTGCTACAGGCTCTGAAAATTCCCTGGCCTTGAACTTGACATAGGACCTGCCTTGATCATGGGCTTCCTAATGCGACAGTCTGATTGATCAAACCATTGATTAAGTTTTCTTACCGCCTGGTTAATGAGTTGGTTGCTTTCTGCACAAGCCTCTACGAGCTTTATTCCCTCTAATATTTTGATTCATAACTGTATACGTCCGATGAGAATCATCGTAAAGAGCAGTCTTTGCGCATTTGCTTACTTCAAACTATTGTGTATTCACAACCACCACTGAACTCTCTCTGTACAGCATGCACTGGCAAGCGAAGATCGATATAGCGCTTATGGAACATTTTGAGCTAGTGTTTAGGGGAAGGCAACGGCGCGACCTGGACGTGTGTTTGGTGGGGGACACAGGGAATAAGACGTTTGTGAATCAGTCAGACGTTTGTCAGTGTGCCAGGTCTCAGGAACAGGGGTGTTGTGAGTTCTTGTGACTGGTTCTGAGCTATTCAACGCACGTTCGGCATATGCGGGTTTTCAGCGATCATTGCCCACGGACTCTTTGGATCCATTCTTTTCCAGAATGAAGTACTCCGGTTTCCGCGACAAGACCTTGAATGCAGCTTCCTAAGGCGGCGTCAATGGCCTTCGGACAACATCGATGCGGGTAAAGAGGAATGAACATCTGTACAAGTCTGGATGGATTCGCTGCTTAGCCGATGATGTATCGGTTTAATGGATCGATGCTGCATATTCACTTGCTCAGCATAGGACGTAGGACTCAATTGTCTAGTGACTCGTGAGTCAAGTATCATCTCGAATGGGAGTTAGCGAAAGCGTTTGGACGAGTACACCCCGGGCGACAATTCCGTGCGATATTATCAAAGCGATAATAGAACTAGCAGTAAGAGCACAATGATCGTATGCAGGGGTTGCTGTGAGGTATGTTTCTGGAAGAGGATCTTTGGTTTCATGTTCGACTGCGTATGAAGGGAGAACTACTGAGCTCCAATTTTGAGATCCTCTCACTAATGGAGTCGAGTGTGGTACTCGCTGAAGTGCTTGCAGTATATGCGTC